TCAACATTGGTTTTCACAATCAAGTTGTTGATAAACCATCTAGCCGCTAAGTCTGCGAGAAGACCAGCCAGGTCAGGAATGATCCTGAAGCCGTCCTCACTCCTTGCTTTGGGGATTGAGATCAGATCTTCTGCATTCATATCGTATGTGAAGCAACCAAGCCTAAGGTCAAGTTATATTCCGGTTGTGTATGCCTCTAAAATATCATAATATCTTAAATAAGGGGTTATCTAGCCTAAGCGGCATAGAGTGATGAAGTACCAATAACTAAATCTTCCTAAAATCATACGGGTAGCTAAATTTTGGGAAAATTTTAGCGTTTATCGTCGTATGCTACGACCACATTCAGAAACAAAAATTCTGCTTCAGCCATTAGATATGAATACTTTCAGAGACCATCAATGGATCAAGAACAAGTGCTCAACTCACCCTAGGTCGTTTAGAATTGAGTCCACCTTCTGGAAGGCAGGGCTTAATGGACTTAAATAGCGTTGGTTAAAAGGAATTAGTTAATTGATCATTTCGAAAGACAAAGAAAGATTTATTCAAAATGAAGATAGTTAGATTTTGCGAAAAAGTCCTCGGCCCAGATGACCCAGATGAATGCACACAAAGATTTCGTCTGACATGTGGCAGATATCGGTTGAGCGAGAAACCATAATTTACAAAAAAGCCAACCAAATTAAACATGCCAAGAAATATGGGTGGCCCGATGAAATAACATTAACTTTTTCTACCTAACTATGCTATCATAATGAGACAGTCCATACATACATTTTGCAAGAATGCATGTTGTACATGAAAAAGCCAATCAAATCATATGATAGTTTATTAGGATAGCCAGATTATATGAATTAAGTAAGTGTGAATGCACCAGGTCGCCCTTATATAGTACATTTTTTCGTTAATTACAGTTTATTGGACTGACAATATCTATTACATTACAGAAGAAAGCTTAACACTGGTTCATAGTAGTCGCAGGACAGGAAGCCGAGGAATGGCAGCCAGTCCTTCTTCGGATTCCGGAGAGACCAATTAACGAATTCCTCCTAACTCACTTTGCCTCCAAAAAGAAATTTCATTCCACAATAAATAAAGTTAGAATTTTTTTAAACCCAGCTTTTTTTCACGCCTAATCACTAAGTATATAGGAATGTCGACGAATGTAGATCTTTGCTTTATTAATGTGAACTGGGAGATTTGGCTTGTCTTGAAAGTCGCATCTGCCCTGTGGTTGTGTTTCCGCAATGTGAACATCTTACTCCTTAATGCCCATTACTCGTTTTAAATTCAGCTGTGGAGGTAGATAATGTGGTGAGGCGAAATCGAAACGGTATCTCAGTATAGGTGAAACCATATGAAATTAAATGACATCATGTCGTATATTTAAATTATTTCGAGAAAACTCTAGCATTAATCATTGGGTCACCCTAAGTGAGTAAGACCAACTCCTATCGGTACTAATGTTTCTGGAGTCATATCTATACTTTCCATTATTAAATCCATAATAAAGGTAGTAAAATCACCAGGACTGAAACTCTCCTACCTACCGGTAGAGATTATGGTTTATGCTTCTTAGCTTAGAATACGGGAAGTGGGCTTTTGAGATGAAATAATGTCTACACTAAATACAGAGAATATGCAAAGAGTAGTTGCGACAGGATTATACAGCTTCCAAAACCTCGGTGAATTGATTTGCATCCGCCAAGTACGAATAGGAGCGACTCATTACGAAGAGCTTGGGGGATAGCTTCATTGGTAATGCTTGCCATTCTGTCATTCGACAGTCAACTTGTCGAGTCGGCCATCTACACAAATTGGCTGGACTCCGGTTGACATAAAACCTGATAACGGAGAATAAAATCAGGTGAGACAACTTTGGTGTACAGTTTCACACTGACTTTCTTTCCTCTCTCCGTCTGACGGCACACTTAGCAGGATCCTTTCCTTGTAAACTAGACAATGATCTGACTATGTTTATTCAAAGAAGCTCATAGCAAGCATGCTGGGTCTGTAAACTGGCCCCTCTTGTATACAATTGTGACTAAATGTCAGCCCTTAGCAGAATAACGGAACAAGAGTTGGACCAACGAAGTGTGCAATTTCAGGAGGGGCAGAAACCCAGCCTAATACAATGCTTCTGTAATTAAGTCGAACACAGCAATTTTATCTTCACCTTCAGTGAATTTAGTCTCCACATGATACACAAATAGGACGACTGGAAAAGGAGGCTTTATTGGGACTGTTTGCATATGTGAATCAGATCTAGAATGAAGAAGACACTTGGTCCCAGAGCGGAAAAGCTCTACGTTTTTCCTGATCCGCGGTTCACAATGCTCTGGCGACTAGCCTACCAGTGATCGGTTGCCCTGAGGGACCAAGAAGCAGCCGCTTTTGTGCATTGGCCCTGTTGGCTGTACATTCCCATTCTATTGGGTGTGTAGTGTTGCAGTGGCTTGGCATATACTGCCATTAGGGCACATGGAATGTGAGCAATGGAGCCTATTCTGGATCTGTTTAACTTAGCGCTGAAAAAAAGACAAAAGAGGACCATTTTCAAGTTAACTTACTACTAATATACATTGAAGAGTTGAGCCGTCATGACGGTTCAACTTTGCTTGCGGCCTACAATGAGTGACTTCAATGTCAATAAGGCATTATCAAGTTTCCTTGAATCAATCGAAAATATTGGCATCTGACCATTATGGCTTTTGTCAGGTCCGAAACGTGAATATATTTAATCGTTTGGGTTTATTTTTTCTTGTTTCTGCTTGTAGAACGCGTCCGCCAATGGGTTCTAGGTTAAGCCCTGCCTAATTTACGGATACAACGAAAATCACATGAAAATAAATTCGTCTTGTGCGATATTAACACCAACTAAAAATGAGATAAGTTGGCCTGGAATCCAGTCTTAATCTCGTTTGGTATCTTAACAGCAAGCCCAACGGGGTAACAAACTGAGACGTATAGATCTAACGGCTCGAAATTGCAAGGCTCTCATTTAGTCACAGTACACACATACACATACACATGGCGACGGGAAAAATTTATAGTTTCCGTCCAAATGAGTGTGGCTACTCATTCTAATCCAGTAATAGGTTAAAACTTCAGATTTGCCTTTGTCTCAAGGTGTGCTTAATGAGAACATTATGGAACAAGCAATAGTATCATTTCCAAATGCGCCTCTGCTGGGCCGTTGCCAGTGACCTGGCTGCCAAACCAATAACACGTCCTATCCTGGACTGAGGATCGAGAAGATGGCAATTTGTGAAAAAGAGCTGTATTCGTTTTATTTACTTTAAATTGATGAAGGACTGGTAGTTGAATTTTCTCACAATGATAAGAAATTCCCATTCACTTCCATAGTGATTAACGTATCGAGACTATACGCAGCAGCACGCAGGTTCGAGTCCCGTTGGGTGTGCTTATGAGGACCAGGTGAGGTCGAGACTGCTGTCCATCCTCGATGAGAATATCTTTTGAGTAACACGGCAATGTAAAATCTAACGGAAAACAGGAAGTCTGCTAACGTAATTATGGGAAAATTCTGCTACCAGCCTTTCAGCACTTTAAACGCAATAGGGTGAGGATGGATCTCATATAAGATCTACTGGTACCCTATTTAACAATGGAAAATTCGGGAAACTATTTGTGATTGTTTAACCTCATCTCGCCAACTCAGTCGTGTTTACAGAATATTTTAAAGAATATAGCGTGAACGAATAGCATCTTCTGATACAGGCAGATGAGAAGACAATGCCAGAAGATGCGGTAGAAGAAGTCAAGCCAAATCTAGGCAGTGAAAAGAGACTGTGGCAGCCTCCAAAGCCGAGCCATCCTGGCATTGTTTTATAAACAGCTAAGGTCTATGTTGGACAGGTTAACCTCGAGCCTTGCATCAGGAGCTGATGCAATTTTCGCCGTCATGAGTAGTTCCTCCGTCGCATGATTGAAGCGAGATGTGAGCCAACCCGGGCCACGTCGCTTTACCCAAAAATAAGGCACTATACAGCCCAGACGAATGTGTGCCTTAGCATGTGCTTGCATATGATGCAAGGATGTCTTCGATGAAGGGAAAATGTCCCGACTTCCTACTATGCGGAATAGGGGAATGGGACAAAGATAGAAGTGGTATTGTATGTTTGATGTGTGACAGCGGTTGTAGGATTGATAAAGTTGCTATCACAGCACTCAAACCTTCCTGATAGGCAAACCAAGTTGAACATGAGGCCAGAAAGCTCGATGGCAGAATAAATTGCATGCATGCAAGTGTCAAGGTAGTGCTGACGAGGCTGGTGCTGGAGGACATCCGAGAGGGGGGGATGTGCTCGGCGGAATCGTTGCCCAACTCGACGGGCTCGCTGTTTCCGTTGGGATAGTCGACAGTTCCAACGGTGTCATGGTATCTGACTTAAGTGATCGAGTCCGCCGTCTCAAGACTGTCGACGGCAGTGGTGTACCTGCTTTCGCCTGCTCCATAGCCGTCATGAATGCGATGTCTGAGAACCAGGAGTACGTGGAGAAGTCGACGAATCCCACCTCCTCTTGCTGTTCCTCCTCATCTTCTTCATCCTCCTCCTCGTCCTCCGT